ACGGGAAAGAATATTGCGGTTATTCTTTTTATGGATATCGTTATTTATGAGAAGAGAACATACCACGTATGTCATTCCAAAGTACATATACAGAACGAGAAAAGGATAATGTGGTTATTCCCTTTGCGGTTAAGAATATGTACGAGAGAAAGACAACTGATGATGTAGCTTCAAAATACATGAGAAAATTTCACTCGAGAATAGAGGATAGGTTACACATGGTTTACCCACTTCAGTTGAAATATCAAAAGAATTTTCAATAGATGTCCTCTGTAATCGTGCTGATTGTTGTGAAATTCAATCATTATTTTATATCTCTTTTTTCTTTCCGTTATCAGCTTGATAATTTTCTGGAAACCAAATGGCATTAGTTTTATTTGCTGATATTTTCAGCGCTTAAAATATACAGAAGTTGAATGTAAATACGCAGTCAATGTTTCGAAAGATAGTTCAAAAATATTATTTATTACCTAACTGATCAATTAAGTTTGAGAAACAGAGAGCTCACACGGTGATAATTCTTTTTACGCCGTACATATATACATTTTTCTCGAGGACGACAGTAATGGTATTTTTGTGTTCTCTAGTTAGGAGATAATTACTGGTATATAAATAAACTATTGATTGTTGAATCAATAGATTTTATTTTCTAGGGTATGGGTGTGGGTGTGTGTGTGGATATGAACGTGAGAGAATTCACCCACACCCCACACCCTCGATTGATTTTAATTCTATTCAATATCTTCTTTAAAAAAAACATATTTTCGTGTGTAAAATACCTTTTTATGAAACTAGTTCTTTATTCAAAAAGCATTCAAATTACGGCTACCGTATGTGTAAATTGGTAAAAAGAACTTGGTTATATAAAAAATTTAGTAGTAAGTAGTGATGAATGTTAGTCTAAAGGGAAAAATCAATGAAGTACAGAAGTCAAAAAAAAATGTTTCTCATGTAGTATTAGAAAATTTCTAACTAGATTGTATAAACTTATTTAAATTTATAGGATATCTCGTTCGATAAGTGTTGTTAGAACTGCTGGCAATCGTTCAACAGCATCTGGACTATTAATGAAGTCTGCTGGATTAATGACATCATTCATTATACCATCACCATCGATACTTGTACAATTTGTAATGGCATAGTTCAAACGTTCGTACATGATATCAGTCGTTGAATATTCAGGTAAATCAAGAGTGAAGAAACATGTGTGCGATCCTAACAGAGAAAATGAAATTTTAGATAAACATAACGAAAAATTATTCTTCTACAAAGAAATCTACGAGCGGATGTCTCCTATTGTATTGAACAGAAGCTACATTTATAACATTTTGTTATGAATTGTTGGAATAGACCTAACATTAAAGTCTCGTATCTTGCCTCTGATCATGGTTTTAAAAGATTTAAATATGGAATATAGAAGGTATAGACTTATTGGGTGTCACTTGACTGTAATCTTAAATGGAATGTTTTGTTGAATGCTCGAAAAACTCAATTTAATCCCATTAATCGACCAAATAAATCACTGTTGTTCAAGAATTCAAGTTCAATTAGTCAATAGCTACTGACGAATCAATAAGCGAATAAACAGATCTGCAATTCACATTTATGAATTAGTTATTGACGAAATTTTCAGATAGGAATATGTGTGTTCGATTCCTATGCAAATTACATTTGAAGACCAAATGTACGACAAAATTTGTTAGATTTTAAGAAAAAACACCTGTCGAAAAGGCAAATTTTTACGAATCTCTTCGTATTTTTAACATTATGAAGCGCTAAAAACTAAAACCGAATAAAAGACATACATACATCTGAGCTAAAATCTATTGTTTTTTTAACAATGAAAATTACTCTAGATGGTTGAACCGATTCGATGAAATTGAAATGAGAATAGAGAGTATTTGGTATTTGTGTGAACTCAGTCTTTTCAAAAGAGAGTCAGCCGAGATGTTGACATTTTTCCTATCAGAAACCGTCTATCTGAGTTGAACATCTTTGACTTATCTCATTATAATAGCATAACCAGAAAACAGAATTCAATAGAACTGAGGTTCATCTAGAAGCGGCTCAAGTCCCTTCTAACGAGGAAAGATTCCGAAATGATTTAAACTTTTCAAGTCCATTTGTAGTCTAATGGTAGGAGAGCTATACATTAAGACTACATCGAAAGGATTCGTGTTTTAAAAGATCGTATGTGGACTAGTCTCACTGATGCCTTCATTTTGGTAGATATTCAGATCCAAGTTTGACAGTACCATTTTATTGAAAATTGAGCGTCCTATAGGTAGAATTCACTACAAATTAAATATCTTGGTCAAATCTTAATGTCCACATGAATCCTTTGGGTGGGTGTGGATGTGGGTGTGAGTATTCTCTTTATTTCCACTCACGCATCCATCCACACCCACATCCACCCACATCAACACCCACATCCACACTCACACCCAACTTGTGATTTCCATCATTGAACAGTACATGTATCCAACTGCTATCAGGGTAGTATACATGATATTATTATTTTAAGAGGATCAGACTTATTAAAATATGCACAAGAAGATGTACAAATTGTTGCTGATAAAGGATTCATTTGTGAACAGTATATTATTACTCTGCAGAAAAAATCTCGTGGTGGTGAATTAACAACTGAAGACAAAGATTTTAATCGAACTATTTGCAGCGCAAGAGTAGCTATTGAAAATATTAATCAACACATTAAACAGTATGTTATTTTTGGACACATTTACAGAGGATCTTATGATGACGTTCGTAAGAGTACTAAAATTGGGCATGTTGTTTGTGCTTTATGTAAACTTAACTTGGATAGACGTCCTATTCGTAGTTATAGAACATAATACGTTATCTATAGTTGGTGATCGTTTATTTTTAATAAAAGTTGTTCAGTAGTTTTTATTATTTGTTTCGACAACAAGTATGATCTACAGTGAATAAGTTCGATAAAGTTCATTTTATTAAAAGAGATTAGAAAGACACTTGATTCTATTAGTTTTAGATATGATAAATAATCGAAATAATGATGAATCGCTAGCACTACACGAGTACTATAATTGATAAAACAATCATAACATTCTGATGTACTATAGAACCTATATGTTAAAAAAACTAGTTGTGGTATGCGGCCAGACTGATCATCTCCATATATATATAGGGTGATCAAAAAGTTCCTGGAACGGCCTTCGATTTGTCCTGTTTCATGTATTAGAAAACTTTCTCTCTTATATTTGAATAGTACCAAGATTTCCCAACTGATTTATGAAACTGAACACCCATTGTTTGCTTTTGCTATATATAGAGCGCATTTTTTTTCTACATGTTGTGTTTTTTAGATGGATAAAACATATATTCGGTACTATATCTTAAAGAAATTTAAATTTGACTTTACAGCAAAGCAAATTCATACGGAATTGTGTGATACATCGGGTGAAAACTATGTGTCACACAGCACAGTCGCTGAGTGAGTGCAACGCTTTAAAACAGGAAGAATCTCATTAGAAGTTGATCCACAAATTGAGCGATCTATAATCTAAGTTACTGATCGAAATACGGAAGTCATTAACGGATAGAAAAATCCACAAATTAGTATTCGATACATGGTTTTTGAAGCTGGTCTGTCGTATTGTACTATTAATACTACTATTCATGATAAACTAAAATTAAGAAAGTTATTCGCAAAATGGGTACCATCTGCATTGCTAATGGAAAAATGCAAGCAACAACGACTTGAGATTTATCAAGAAAATCTTGGTAAATTGGAAATCGGCCAATGGTGATTGTGTGACATTATTACAGGATATGAAACATGGATTTATCATCGTAGTATTGGTTCATAAGAATCAAATAAGACTTGGTGTTCTCAAGGTGCATGTCCAACAACAGTGACCAGGAAGAATCAATACGATCAAAAAGACATGTTTGTGATCTTCTGTGGAAACACAAGGTCGGAATTTATTCACATGATTGAATTCGGCAATTCAATATCTAGTGCTTACTACAAAGATAATTGTCTGAAAATCTTTATTTAACAATATCAGACAACAAAGATCGAAGTCTGGTTTGCATGCTGTCAAGATCTGTCACGACAATGCAAGACCGCATCAAACAGAATATATTAAAATATTTCTTCAAGAACAAGGAGTGACGATAATGGCTCATCCCCATCCTACTCACTCGATTTTTGGTAATTAGGCTACCTAAAACGGCAATTAGGCAGTTATCCTGATTCCAAATCTTTGCAACAATCTGTAACCGAGAAGATTCGCACCATACCACAGGATGAATGTTGAAAGACAGTTCAACATTGGGTTGATCGAATGAAACTTTGTATAACGAACAAGGGAAAGTACTTTAGATGTTTGATGAAATAAATTTCTTTACAAAAATCATTTATTTAATGAAAAAAAATGGATGTTCCGAGACATTTTTGATCACCCTGTGCATAACGATAATTGTATTTATCCCTTTGCAATAAAACTCATGATACCAGGTATTTCATAAGCAGGAATTTGTGATGGTAAGAAAAAGTCAACTTTGAACGGCGTCGGCGGCCATCGGCTGTCATAAACACGACGACATAGCCATACGCGTATCAGTTTATCGACAATTAGTTCATTATTATTGTCGTTCCTGCTACTTTTAACATTTAGCATTTCAACATTGATAACAATATGTCGGTCATAGGTAGTACAGAAGAGATCATCGATCATCAAACCAAGTGAACCTAGAATAATATAACCATAGCCACGTTGTATCGAATGTTTATAATGCAAACCATAATGTCCCCAACAAAACCACCATCCACGAGCACGGCTCGGTCGTCCGGTGCTGCTAAAGAAATAATTAACAAAGCGTAACCATTCTTCACCCTCGATTCGTATTGCATAGCGAATAAATCCTGCAGCAACAATCGATGGTCGCATTCTCCCACAATAACTAAAACATGATATTAGGCATGCACTAACAGCTAAAAATATGAATATCATTCCGAAAATGAGCCGAAGTGTGAATGCATTGCTGTTCGCTACTGTTCCGCCCATTATGATAAATAGGATGAAAAGTATTCATCAAGGATAGCCATAAATCTTTTGATACAGATTTTTAATTTTAAAACTACTTATACCAATGCGAACGTCTTTTATCGAATGTTCATTTGATAGATACTATTATAAAGACTACCATCACTAAAAGACAAAAACCACTTCGCAGACAAAGTTGATGATTGAGACGGTCACGAAGATCTTGTGCAATTTCAATATTCGAAGGATTGATAGCAACTGCTGTTGCTGCTCTCATGTTTATTGCAGCAAATTGCTCAGCCACACGTTCAGCTGCAGTTTTTCTAGGCAATGACATATCTTTTGGATCTATTTGAGTGACTTCTGTATCAATCACTGGCATGTTAGAGAATGGAATTTGATGGTAGTCTGGTGGCGATGGATCCGATTCATTATTCATATTGCTTTATTATAAATATATTGTTATGAGTAAGTACTAACTAGCTGAATGGACCACAGGATATTGTTGCTCACGTCTTCTTGAAACGACACTCACAGTGGACAAAAATTTGCTATTTGACGTTATCTTAGTGTTATAACAATATCAACAATATTTTTCTAGTTGTTTCGTTCTATTGCAAATGATAAGATTGTGAAATTTGCTTAAGTTAAATGATAACAAAATAAATATAAGACTATGACTCCTAGCATATGCTTACTAAAAGACTCAATATGAGAACAAGGTTGGTGTGAGTGTGTGAGTGGATGTGGTTGGGTGAGGGTGTGAAGTGTAAGTGTGGGTGTGGGTATAGATGTGGAGTGTGGATGCGGGTGTGGGTGTAGGTGCGAGTGTGGAGGTGGGTGTAAGTAGGGTTCGAGTGTGAGTGTCCTCTAGATTCACTACCACATCCACACCCTACATCTCTTGAGAATTTAGATCAACTATGTGATAGCATAATTGTTAACCTTTTACGTTCCGACGATTTTAGGAGAGTCACTAATAAAACACCTATTGAAACAGAGTATTGTCCTCTCCTGTAAGCCAATACGTTAAGCAGATCAGACAGGTGTGCTTCTCCTGTTTGTACGGTAATTAGGCAATTCCAGTTGCTCTTGGGGATAGCGATATGCAAATTTTTTTAAAAATCTCTTGCGAGTAGTTTGTTGATTTTGCAAAAATATAGTATACTTTTTTTAAAATTCAATAATACTAATAAAGAAAAAACCAACACATAAAAAGATTTTCCTTTTTTCTTTACAACACAAGTACTTTTGAAACGACTTTTGCATGTACATAAAATTCGTTTTTCTCGAAATAATTAAATCATCAAGTCAAGAAGATAATTATTGGATTATTCTTCTTCAACTTCTAATATAATACGATTTTAAAAGAATTAAGATGTAGATGTGAGTGTGATATGGATCTCTTCTTGTCCGACATCGACACAAACACTTGCCAACACCTACATTAAATATTTATATAACAACAAATCATGCTTGTATTTATAAATAGGAGCAGTCTGTTAATTTATACATGCGTAAATCTTAACAAGTATTGTGTTTAGATAAGAATTTCTAAATCTTTTTTTCATGTCATTATCGTCTTCTTCTATGGATGTGATTCAAATAAATTGACTTCGATGTAACTCCCGAGTGAGTTTGACCGCCGTCAATACGCTTTAAAAACTCTTTGACCTTACCATTAGATAACCCTCAATTCATTGTTCGTGAATTGTAAAAATCAGCTTTCTAGACCCATGTTTTGAATTTGAACGATTTTTCTCGTCAAAATTCTTTCTTTTTTGGGTTTCACTAGATGTACACTTCTTTTTATTCCTTGTTTCATTCCATTTCTATTTTAATTTGAATTTTTTCTATAGTATATACCATACGATAGAAAAGAATGCGCTGCACGATAAGGTACCTTTCAGTTGAAATACACTATGAAAAAAGTCTACATTTCAACAAGTACACATGTGCTAAGTCAAATCATCAATAAACCTAGTTTTTCTCCGCTATAGTCGAATCAAAATTAACTTTCAAATATCTCAATAGAAAGAGCGTTTAGAACTGTACAAGATAGACTATTCAATTAGTTTTTAAAAAAGATGTGCTACTTTGAAGGCGGTCGGATTCTGTATATTGGCCGCAATGGGACTCACCAGTTTGTTCCATCGCGGCGAATGTGTTAATTATCACTTGTAACTTGGTCGAATTGGTACAAACATGTCAATTGGCCTCAAGCTACATTATTATATCTTGAACCATTAATTGCTTTATATCATCTTTTTTACAACATCATTCATGTAACAAACAGTTGTCTTTACGATAATGTGGTATTTTCTTATTGGTTTTGGTATAATGGCTGGTCATCATCGTTTATTTGCTTATCGTTCTTATGAAGCTAAATTACCATTACAAGATTTCTTATTTGTATCAGATGATACAGATTTTGATCTATGTAGTGCACATAAACGAATGTTTTATTCTCATACTGGTTGATCATGAACTTTTATCTGATTATCGTAATGCACTTCAATAATGTCAATATGATCCAACAAAATATTTAATAGAATTTTTTAAATTAACTGGACTTGCAAGTAATCTTAAAGAAATTCCTAAAATGAAATTCGTGAAGATCGTTATACAATGGCACGTAAGACATTGGATTGTTTTGGACAAAGTATTACTTGGCCAAAAGGGAAATTTGAAGAATATCAAGAACTATCAAAAAAAAATGAAAGTCGTGTATATGTTTCAATTACTAGTTGTATGCATGATGTTAGTATTTTTTTTTGATTCACATTCGAATGGTCTAGCTATTATTAAAGTTTATGTTGGCAAGGATGCTATCGTGGCATTTTATGGCAGTGTACATCATCATAGTACGGCAGGACATAATATACTTGCTATGACGCGAGTTGCTGTTGGTAAATATAGTGGTGAGGTAGAACATATTAGGAAAAGATTAGGACACGCCCAAACGCCGACTCCTGTTTTTGTCTAAGTTTTCCTTTTGTTTTTTGCTGTTAAATCATAAAGCTTTTCGAATTTCTATGATAACGATCTTGATCAAAAAATAAATTAAAAAAAAAGCATGACCATAAATTTATTTCTGTAAGAATAACTGTATGTTAAAGATTATTTAAAAAAAAATTAAAATTGTATACGAATTATATTCTGGACGTTAACATTATTATTATTAGCATTACCATCGTTTCGAATATCAACATGAACGAATAGAGTTGAATGAGTTTCATCGTTATTATTAGCTCTTAAATAAATATGACGATAACCTAGATAAAAGAAAAGTAAATAAATCATGTGGATAAATTCATCGGTATGCCTTAGAGTTCGTCGAGTCCAGAACTGATTCAATGAGCCATACCCGAACAATAGGATGAAGAAAAATGTCCTTGTCTTTTGGAATAGAGTGGTGCCTACTGGCATATTCTATAGTCTGATTTTTCTCAATACTAATATTCGCTGTAGCTCTGGGTTGTAGACTGGCTTAGTACGGAGCTCTCAGGCTCAATTGTTTGAGTTCCCATATATACACTAATTAATCACAAGAGTAGGTGTATGTCACAAGGTTGTCAACTTTCTATCGGACGAGTGATGTGAGACAAGCACTCGTTGGCAATCTATTCAGAATCATTTCATGGCTGATAGTACCAAGATCTGCACACAGTGCGTCAACGATGCATTGTTTTATGAAGATTTTATCTTCGGCAAAGATGAGTGAAAATCTTCGGGACAACGAACCCTGATTGTGAAAAACACAGACGCATAGTACATGATTCAATAACTACAAATTCTGGGAGAATCAACCTGATCTTCGAAGAAGCACCATCTCTTTGGTTCCCACGAGAGATAAAATCCTACACCTATGGTGGTTCTTCCAAAAATAACTGCCGATTATGATATTAGGTTTAAAATCTTTGGAAAGAATTCTTTTTGATAGTTCTTTTTCTATTAGCTACGTAAAAGTTGATCAGAAATCAGTATTTTGATTGAACAAGTTTATTAAATTTTGCCTGAAATGATGAAGATTCAGAATTGTTTCTAGGAATATCTAATTAAAATTTCATTAGCAATTTCAAGCTTTTGAAAACATATTTTGTCCACGCATAGAAAACATCTGATTTAGTATAAAATTGGAAGGATTCTTCTTAATCCTTATGTTATCAAACGTTCATGTTTCAATTAAATTTAAAAGCAAGAAGTCCTCAGAACTTTTTACTAGAGTACATGTTCTTTATTTATGGGTAAAATATGAATCTAAACGTTTGAAGCCGTTGATAACACATTCATTAAATGTTCCTAGAAAATGCTGCGAATTCTCCCTATATGAAGCACAAATCGATCAAGTTTTCTACCAAAACTGTTTTCTGACTACTTTCTATCGAACTAGCACGATTAGTGCCAACAAAAATAAAAAAAAACATTTTTTAGAAAAGCGGTTGACTACGTATTAATGTATTCTTTTGCAAAGTAGAAAATTCGTCTACTATCTTTTACCTTCTTGTATCATTGTTACTGGTGCACTGAAATAAGCAATTCTATCGTCATCCGACAGAGTATCATAATCAAGAACAGAAAAGTACATGAGACACATTTGAGGAAATCGTATACGAAACTCAAATGTTTCATTCCATATTGGATCAAAACCATTATTATCAACAACTTGTGTTTTTTGTGTTTGTTGATCACATGGTAAACCATGTGTCGATATTCTTACATATGGATCAGGTATATCTTTTGTTTTGATACTTGAACGAGGTAAAAATTGTCCACTTATTATTGTTATTGTTAAAATTTGTGGTTGATCAAAATTAATTGAACTATTCCATGGATTAAATTTTGTTTTATGTGCTTTGATTAAATAATCTGGCTTAAGTATATAACCACAACAACCATTATCACGAAATTTTCCATAATATAATGCCATCATATCATCATCAGTTTGATAATTCAAAGCAACCATTTGTACACCAAAATTCCAAGGATTTATCGGATCTAGATTACTTGAATCTTGTCTTAAACCATCAGGATATACACGAAGAATACGCCATGTTGTTTGTACAATTAAATCAAGTGGATCTCTTTGTGCATATTTCAAAAAATTTTTTTCAGCCAAAGATGATGAATGAAATGGTGTATCTGTTTGAAATATAAATTTCAAGTTTTACAAGAGAAGTAACAAAAATAATTCGATAACTTACAATTTTCTTTAGTGTAATCATTTTCTTGATAAGGAACATTCATAAAATATACAAATAGTTCAGATAATTCTGGTTCAACATCCTAAAATATTAGACAGTATATTAGTATTGATTATTATTTTTATTAATTGCTGTCCGATTTTGTATATATTCATGACTAGAATCTATAGAGAACTGGTTTAAAGAACATGAAAATGTTTCGAATAGAAGATGGTAATTGAATCCATCGAGTTGATTCCAAATCTCAATCCAAAAACTTTGTATTTAAATTATAGAAAATTATTGTTTCATGTTTCTCGAAATATAAAATAAAGTTATAATTAAAAAAAAGAATTTAGAAATGGATAAATCATTTTCTGAAATTATTGGAAAAATCTTGCGTAATTTTTTTCTTGTACCTAAAAACTATATTTTTCAATTAAATGTAATCAAGTTAAATCCATGTTCAAACAACAAAAATAACACACTTAGCTGAACTCTTTTTAGAATTTCGAGACAGACTATAGATTGTATAAAACTAATGACTTAAAGAACAAATGAATTGTAATTATTAATTTCAAAACGATAATACGATTTATAAAATATAGAAAGACTTTAATCAATCAAATATACTCTTTAGTAGTCCGAACAGTTTTGAACTAGATCATATTTATTATGTGACAGAGATTACAAAAGATTCTTCAATGATTTGAAGACTTTGTTAAAAATAAAAAACAAGTTGATATTGATATTGTTCAAAATAATAAAAAACAAAGATTTTTGAACATGAAAACCGATTATTTTTGATATCTTGATTATGTAAATTTTCTCGGTGCATAATTTATATGTTTCGTTTTTTTAAATGAAAATTCATATGTAAATAATAACGTACTTTTCTTAATGAATTCTGTGAAGAATATTCATCAAGTTCTTCTTGAAACATTACATTTGATATTGTTGATGTTGACGTTGATTTACCCTAATAAAAACACAAATAGGAAATTAAATATTCTTATATAAATAATATTATACTTACACGAATGAGAACTTTATATTTTAAATCTTCTGGTGATGGTAAAACTGATGGATCTTTATCGGATAAATGTTTTGTCACCAAATGATCTATACTGACATGAAAATTATATGTATCATAATTATTTTCTTACCACGAAGATAAGTTTTCAAAATTTGAGCCATTTGTTTTTGTTGTGCAGGTGAACAATGATTTTCAATATTTAATATAACTGGATAACTAATAAATAAATAAATAAATAACTTGATATGCAAAAATTTGTTGTAAGAAAATATTTATTCAGCTTTTGACAGTTCAAACTTAACTATTGATAATCAACAGTAATTAATTAGAATTTTGTGTTCTTTCGAAATATGTACTCAAAATATTTCTTTAACTTTAGGTTGATTAATAGCATATAAATGGTAAATGCTAATCAAATATTGAGCACATACAGAATTTAAGAGTCACATTTCTAGCCTGAAATAACTACAACATGAATTTTGAAAATCGAATTTTTTCATAAAATGTGATTTTCTATGCAATTTAATATTCGATATAATATCAAATTTGTTCTAAAATATTATATAGACAAATGATAAATAACATATGAAAACATTCATATATACTTTATTCAAAGGCGAAGAAAATTCTAAGTAACTGTCTTTGATTTTCATTAGTTATATTTTAGTTTTCTAAAGATGAATAAAAATTCGTGTTGTGAAATTTTTTTTTACTAATTGTTCCATTGTCAAAAAAGGCGATTGATTTCCAATTTATTGCTTTTTACTAGTTTAGTTACCATGAAAAATTCATCTTCTTCGTTTCGACAGACTAATTACGACTCAAATCCATTTTTCAGACTCGTGTACTCAATCATCTTTTCGACTAGGGTTTTGCTCGCATGGCAATCTAATTCTTTGTCTGTTATTTATTTAAATATTAGAAGAGATTTTTTTTGAAAATGAAAATTCTAAAATGTACGATACTTTGGAATATTACTTTTTTTTTCTATATTGTCTTGTCTCGAAAAAGTTTTGAAACAATTCCGATTATCTCGCAGGATTCTAATTTCTATACTCGTAATCAACTTCTAATCGGAGAAATATTTCGAGTACGTATTCCGACAGAACTTAACATTATACTTCTAAATGATTACTATTGACTCTTAGTAGTTGTTTGAATTGTTGAAAATTGAATAAATATTATTGTGTAAAGATATTTGTGTAGTAAGTTAAATAAAATTCTAAATAATTACGGAGAAGCTTTAAAAAGATTTGGTTGTATACGACGAATAATTGATTCAAGAGAACATGATTTTACAAGTGTAAAAGCATGTTTAACTATTGGTTTACCATCATCACCATCATAACAATCAAGTTCAACTGCTCTACAACCCATTAATAATACTCTATTATAAGCTTCTGGATTACTTTCACCAGATATTTGACTGTAGAATAGATAACTTGAATATAAAAATTTCATTCAATAATAAAAATAAAAATAAAAAAATCTAATCATTTTTTTATTCATACGTATTATGAGAAGTATTGATATAATAATCACATAATGGTCTGAAAAAAATAAAGTTTTAATATTTATGATATTCTTCTCATGTGTCTATACCTTGTCATATTTTGATATATTTGACGAGAATACGATGATTCTATAATTTCAAAATTTCTTGATAATAACATATTTCGAAAACCTTGATAGAAATTTAATTTTTGTTTTATTCTTGATTACTCATAGAAAAAAAAATGAATGAATAGAAACATACCATCAAGACCTAAAAAACCTTTTTCTCGAAATTCAGTATTCAATTCATATTCATCAATTAATTTTTGTGCTTGAATTAGACTATTGATATGTTGCATCTATTGAAAAAACGAATTAATTATTGAAAGAAAAAAAAAATAAATTTAAGTTACATTTGAATTTTTCATTAGTCGAAGAAAATATAATAATTCATTTCTATCCATATAAATATTTTCCATTGTTTGTTGATATCCATATTTTACAAATCTATCGAAATGAAAAAGAATGAAATTAAATAATATCTATCTAAAAAATTACTTTTGCATTAGATCATAAAGATCTTTACGACGTGTTAATATTTTAAAAAACTGTACAAATTCTTCAGGATTTAATTTATCAGATTTAGTTTTATGTATTTTCTAGAAATAAAAATAATGCTATTTAAATCAAAAATTTAAAGAATAAATTTTACATAAAACATTTGTTCAAATATATTATCAGGCATTTCAATATTTAAAGATTTTGCAAGTAAATCACGACATTCTTTTTTTGATAATGTATTTGATTTATTTTTATCAGCAACATGAAAAAATTCCAAAATCCAACTATAATAAAGAAAACCTTATAATAAAAATTTCCGTGTAAACAAAAAAAAAAGATATGTTTTCTTGTTTACTTGTCTTCTCCAATTATATGATATTGACGTTGTTGTCCACGTTTATTCATCAAATGTTGTAAACCTTTTACCCATAAATCTCGTGTTTCCATATCAGGTGCAATAAAATGTACTCCTTTTCGATGATTATTATATATGATTGAAAAAGCACGATCTTTCTAAATGAATTAAACTTATTCTATAAAAAGAAAAACGAAAACAAAAAATAATAATCAAGCATAGAATTTTATACATCATCTGGTTTGACTTTACGATCTTTAACAAGTTGATCAAATACTTGTGCTTCAAATCCTATTCTAATTTCATCAATATCGTGTACATGATCTAAATAAAATAGAAACATCAAATATTTATATCATAAAATCAGTCAATTGTAAACTTACATATTCGTGGTTTACCACGAAGTTTATTTGATTTGTCATACGTTATATAACCTTCACGTTCATGAAGAAAAAATTGACGACAATACGTTTTCCCATTACGCTTATGTTTTACTAAAACTGCACCTGATTTAAGTTGTTGTATTAATTCAGATATAGTATCATCGGTGTTAGCCATTTATCCAGTTAATTTCGTTATTTATCAAAAAAAGAAAGATAATAAAATGAAAGTAACATAAAAAAGTGGATTACCGTCAATATAAGCCTACTAACCTACTCAGTTTTATCAATCTTACCTTTCCTCTTTTATACAATCATCGTCTACTAACATGTAACAGTTTTAAAGCTCTTCATCGAACAAGAATGGCCTTGTTTTCCTTTTGCTTATTCCAAGGTGATTGTTCGTAGTATACGTAGGTAGAAATAGAGATTAAGTTGATAAAATGCAAGGAGAAAAATAGTCGTATTTTATTTCGGCTTTGTGTTCAAATAAACAAGTGGTGCATAAGATAATGGTTCTTTTTTTCTTCAAGTCGAAGTTCTTATCCTAGTATTGATCAAAACTCAATTAGCTACTAATAGACATGTACTGAGCTATTTTGTTACCTTGACGCTAATTATTCTAATTTTTATTTGTATGATAAAAAAATTACTCAGCCGAACCCCGAGCCTAGGCTCAGTTTATAAAATTCTCATAAAAATTAAAAGAATTAGTACAGAAAGCTCTGACACATCCTTTCTGATAGGTTAAGTTGCATAAGTCAGCCTTTTATTTCATAACTCAAGCTATTGATACAAAGTGCTTGAAAATGATGCAAAAAAAAACTCAGTACATGCATATCTACTAAAGTATGTTTACCACCAAGTATAAAACATTTTTGTTTCCTTTTTTTTGAGTCACTTCAATATTTGTCGTTGGCGATACATAACTAATCTTGGTTTATAAAACTGCTTGACTGTTTTTGGACAAAATATGGGATCATTAAAAATGATTCGATATTATTCGTCTTAGATTCAGAATATATAAGAATATTTCAATTTGTTTTCTCAGATATATCATGTCCATATTTATTAATTTGTCATCGCTTATGTACGTAGTGTCTCAATACACATCTATGCAAGAAGAAAAAAAAAATACGAAAGATTTTCTTATTTAAATATTTTGAATTTTGGAATGTGGATGTGTAAAGGCTATTTAAAAATAAATGATAAAATTTGGTGCTTGAAAAAACAAGAGACATCTGATACACGTCATTTACTTACGATTTGTAAAAAAAAAAAAAGAAAAGAAAGATTTTATACGAAACTAATAAAACGACAGTAAAAGAAATTATTGCACGTGGGTACTTTAGTCAAATAACAAAAAAAAAACAGAGCGACTTGCTGTTTGCCTGATATATAATTACTAATAATAAATATGACGCATTTGAAAAGAAAATAACGTCTTTTTTTTCTACAAGGTTTACAATAGATATTCTAAATTAAGCAATAAAGAGAAAAAAATAGCTCTTTCAGAGTGTGGGTGTACGTGTGAGTATTTCTAAGACTGATACCCACACCCACACCCTATGATATTTTGAACATAATATGATGATAGTGGACGAATACAAAGTAAAACATATATATGATAGAAACGATATGGAAACATAAAATAACTGAATAAAACTATTTTAAATGAAAGCCATTCCAATGGCAGTATTCATTTTTATTCGAAATTAGTTATTACTGTCTATTTCAAATAAATAAATTTCGAAAATAGACCCATATATATCACAGTTTTTTATTCAGCTTTTTCATAGACTCAGTTAATATTTTTATAATATTGTATTGTGCTCTAGCAAACATCCAACTATGTTCAAACAGTAAATCTATTTTCTTCATATGAACTGATCAGACAAACAAATTCTCAACCTGAATTTCACACCAATGTATTAAAGCTTGTTTTTTTTTAATGATCAGATCTTGGCAAAATGTTATACTTGCTATAGATCAAGTAGTAACTTTGTTGATCTTTGTTTTCTTTTAAAAAACATCACAACAGTAGGGTAATATATTTGCAATCAAAATTAATCATAACTGTTGACATAAAATAACTATTTTTTCATTGATTGATTGGTCAATCGTTGTTCTATAGACTTTGACATTTTTGTCTCCTACTACTGAAATTACATTAGAAGAAAAAAGAAAAACATCTATAACCTTGTTGTGTAAATTATTGTGATATTGTGGTGATAGATGCATGTCTTGCCTACGCACTTTTTTGAAGATTCATTAATTTCACAAAACGAAATATTGTCGGTTACTATTACAGTAACATAACAAATATAACTGCCTCCTACTGTTTTGAGACTCAACATTAAACACTACTCAACGGTACATATAAATATGAAACCAAATATTGAGGAGAGAAAGAAAAAAAACGTATCGATTATAATGCAATTTTACATGCGTCAATTAACTTCTAAAATCATTCGTATTCCTTTCATCAAACGATACAACTATCATGGCAATGAAACAAGAATTAAAGTATCTCAACATCAATTGCTAGGCATTAATTACGATTGTGCATCAGAAGAAATCGTTAAAGCACAGCGTGCACCTGATATTCCGTTAGATTTAATGCAAAAGCGTACTATTGAAGAGATACAGATTCAAGAAGCACAACAAAAGCAACATCAAAATGCAACGACAGAATCTACATATTAATAGTACATTATACATCCGGTGTGGGTGTGGGTGAGGTATGGCTGTGTTTATGGATGTGATTAAAGAGATCCCATACACATAGCTACACCTACCCACACCCACACCCGTCCTTCTAAGGAAATATAAGGTTTTTACAGTACTTTGGTCTGAAATTCAAGATGAAAATTTGATTTGTTTTAGTTTGGTTATTTTCTTCTCTTCCGTATTTTTTTGTAAATTAAAAATATTTGTTATATAATGTGACTGTAGTCGGAAAGAGGCTGCTACCAACAACAATTAACCCTATTTCGAAAAGCGACAGCTGCTTGTAAACATAAATAAACATTCATTTTATGTACAAGTATGTCTTATCTCGTCATGATGTTTATATTTCACTGTTAAATATTGATTAGTTTTACTGATCTGTCACATACTTATATCTTGTAACTATCATTTGCCAAAAGCAATTTGTTCAATTGTTCTCATTCGCTTAGTTATAAGAGAAATGAATGTTGATTCTGACAAAGATAATGATAATCGTGGTCATGGTGGTTTTCGATCTGTAGTGACCGCGAGCAAAAGGAAGCTGAGAAATGATTTTTAGATGCACATAAATTCTGTAATATGCTTACTCATGATGATCCTGTGTTGGCAGGATCTATAAATAATACAAAGAATGCACATAAATATGAGGGAAAAGATGGAAAAGAAGATAAAAATGACGACGATGACATCAATATAGGTATTAGATAATATTGATTAAACTTTTATTAAATACGAACAATATATCTGAACTTATTGACTAGTATAGTAGACAACCACTAAAGTTGATACTTGTCACGTAAATTATTTATTATCTATGTCAAATAAATACGTTTTAAAAAATTACGAATTTATTTCACATTTCTCTGGACATTCATTTTTGTTTATTGTCCATTCACAACTAATTGAATGATTAGTTAATATTAAGTTATTTTACTATTTGATAGTTCATAGTGTTCTCTAACAAACACTAAAGTCAGGACACAAAATAACAAAAAAATATTGCAGGAGAACTGATTATGTACATTTAATTCGTGAAATGAATTGAAATAAACTATTGAAACACTAACAATTAATGAAAATAACGAGTTTAAAAAAAGATTGGTTTGAAACAAATTTAGACATTTAGGAGAGGGTTTCTGATAGTTTCTCAGAAATGTGTAGTGTGAGTAAATATCTGATATCTGCTTTTCTAGTGATAGTTCTGAACTGCATCGAAGTAAATATCTGATTTCTTTACCAAAAAGCAGATATCAGCTATCAGAGATTTAGTAAAAATTGGTAATAATTTGAGATTTGCCACGACCTCAACTTAAATATTATTGTACGAAATATTCATGTTTTGTTATTGCTATTTGAATTATATACAAGGTGTATGTTAATTATCATCACATGTATATGTAATGCATTCAAGCATGGCAAACAAAAAATATCTCACGTGTACAAGATGTATTTTCTTCTCTTTCTTTCATTCATATCAGGTAAACAGATAGTTGTTTATACATACAAACATAGAAACACTACAACCAAATCTGACGAAATTGAACAAGTTTATCTCCATTAACTCACTATTAGAATGGCATTTGCTCCTGTTTCATCACTCACTGTCGATGGTTTTCCGAAATTCTTAACAGTAGTATACCATCGAATGATTGAATCAGCCATTATTGCCTTTATTGATCTCAATCTTCCTGATCGACTTGTTCATGCCGTGCCACACCAAGGTTTCACATTAGACGAGATCATCGGCACTGATGATCATTCAACATGGAACAAAGACGTTCTGTATCGTATTCTTCGAGCATGTGTCGTGACAGGTGTTGTTAAACAAGTGAATGATGATAAACATTTTGCTCTCACTGAATCTGGTGCTATGCTCACATCCAATCATCCATCACATGCTCGTGATCTCATTAAATTTGTCGCGGAACCTGAAACCACTAGTGCACTTAGTAAACTAGTCAATGTGACACGTCGAGAAAGTGTTAGCGGTATTGATTTAACGTTTGGTGTTGACTTTTACACAATGGTGGCTCTTCCTGCTCATGAACAATATTCTCATACATTTAACGGAGCTTTGACTGCTATTTCACAATACGTTGGCGATAGACTTGCGTTCGCAGTAGACTTTGGCCGCTTTGACACAGTTTTAGATCTTGGTGGTAATACCGGTGCATTTTTGGCACAGGTTCTTCAACATAATCCATCAGTGAAACATGGAATTGTTTTTGATATGCCAAGAGTGATTAAAGAAGTAAATAAGGGTGAAGTATTTCAATCACGACATATATCAAAAGATAGGTACTCATTCGTCGCTGGTGATATATTTGATCCATCTGATATTCCTCAAGTGGATGCTTATCTAATCAAACAACTTTTGCACGACTTCAGCGATGAAAAAGTCGTGACTATTTTATCAGCCATTCGTCAAGCAAATGAAACTTCGTCTCGAAAAACAATAACTATCTTCATTGTTGAACATGTCATATTAGGTGATGGAGCAGTGAGTGATTGGCAATCGATTGCTATGGATATGCTGATGACAAGCATTATAGACAGTGGTAAGGAAAGGAGTCAAGAAGAATATCAGCAATTACTTGAACAAGCAGGTTTCCATTTCAAGCAACTGTATCCGCTTCAAGCACCTAACTCGATCATTGAAGCTGTGTGGATCAAACATTGATGATAACTGATTTTTGACTTCACCGCATATCTTCTTATCTTTCATTTTATCCAAGAATCTTTTTAGATAATAAAATATTAGATTGATCATTGTTTTCTCATCACTTTGCACACTCCCGAGGGAATCTCCTCAATTGATACACTCCGTTTGAGCTCATATTTTGCTCGCAGGTAGGGCTCATAGTGTAGATAAAAACCCTAAGAGGATTTATCTCATTGCTGCTTTGTTGCAGAGAAATAAGCACAACAAGTTTCTCTGAAAATGACGTTACTGTATTTTGTGTAACAAAAAATGATGTTTATATCTCAACAAAGGAATGTTTTCGTTCGCTATATGTATCAGATTTTTTCTCTTTAAATAGAGAAAATAGCTAACAATCGCCTATTTTTCTACAATAAGTAACTATATGTAATATCAGTTTTAAAAAATCAGCTCGCGAAAACATTCCTTCGCTGAGATATAAAAATAATGTTTTTTTTACAGAAAATACAGTAACATCATTCTCAGAGAAACTTGTTGTGCTTGTTTCTCTACAACAAAGCAACAATAGGATAAATCCTCTTAGGGTTTCTATCTACTCTATGAGTCCTACCTACGAGCAAAGTATGAGCTCAGACGGAGAGTATCGGTTGAGGAGGTTTCTTCGTCAGTGGCAATTGAAAGAAGTAGTTTCTAGACGGCTATATCTTTAAAAAAGAATAATATACTCTGAATCATATCACCTCGAAGCGATTTTGAAGAGAAAGTGTTCAGTCGTTAAAAAAAGATGATAGTCTAGAAAGTTTGAATTCCATTCAGATGATGACTTTCAGACTTTCTTTGTATCGACATTGAGTGAGAATATGAATTCAGTGATACGATTATCTCATCTCATCAAGTTATATGATAAACAAGGCTGGTTTGAAGACTATATTACATTCGTCAACTTCTGCCGTTTGCCATCACTTAACATTAATACATGATCAGAAATGACTAGTAATACAAGAATTGGTTTCTTCTAATTTTTTTTTGTTCTCGTAATCAAATCTTCAACTTATTTCGACGGTTTATCGAAAGAAATTATGTTCGACATTTTCGAGTTCCTTAATGATTATAATATATTTGAAGCTTATTCGTTTCGAATATGTCTCTAATTGATCACTCTGCTTAGAAAAATAATCTGCTGACACATACAAATATAAGAGTAAAGACTCTTCTGAATTAGTTAAAAATAGTATATTTCATTAGATTGTATACCAGTGTTAAAATAAATGTGGACAAAGATAGATTTAAAATAAAATAATCTAAGATATACTGAATGCAAAAAAATAAAATTTCTTTCATTGTTATAGATGGTTATATACGAATATGAGAGTGTGATATTCTTTCAAACTATAAATATGAGAAGTCAATTGGAGCTTTGGATGTTACAGATTTCTTTTCCAATTGCTTTTGATTTTCTTATAATATTTGATTTGCTCCCAAATGTAAATCTGTTATTGCCCGATTTAAATTGATCATCTCGAAAATCGATTCGACACTTTTATCTGTAATATGACTGTAAAGAAGAGTGAGATCTGCTGATGTTCTATTTTGATATTTCAACATTTCACGAATAGCTTGTGCACCTTCATCACTAATTTGAGTATGATTGCGTTCAAATGTTTCTCGAACAACTGGCTTCCTAAATTTCTCGGTTTGATTTCTGATTCGCTGAAGCACCGACTATTGTAAAGGTTGTTGACCACGTACCACTTGCTAGTCAAGGGAAGTTTTCTTTGATCTCGTCTATAAATTGTTTTATTGTTGGAAAACGACGGGTATATATATACATGAGTTTGAAAGCGGAAAGAATACACTAAAAAGTAATAGGACGGAAAGAACTCGATAGAAGCTCAGTGAGAACATTCACGATCATACAAATAGAGTTGAGAACGAAAACGAATACAAGCGAACATACTAGAAAAGGAAACATCCCTAGTCTCAATCCTGATCATTTCTTGAGAAATCCTAGAAGGATCTTTCAGGCTCCGGGATCTCGAGGCTCTTGCTAAGTTTTGTTCAGGATCCTGTTTCGAAGTCTAATAATTCCTGTTGCCAGGATTTTTCAAGCTGAAACAAGATCCTCTCTTCAGAATTTCTTGAAGTTTCTGCTCAGATATTTTTCTCGATTGACAATACAGGATCCTTGAGGAGTGCACTCAAGATCCTATCAAGAATTCTGACAAGATTTTATTAGGTTCTCGTCAGGATCGAGGTCAAATCTTGGCATCAGGATCCCGTCAGGAGTGATAGCCACATAAGACGAGAATCTTGGCAAGCAACTAGCAAGATCAGTCACAATACGTAACTGGCTAATCATGGAAAACTTTAATCAGGATCTTGTCCAGAACTTTTCCAGAGTATACCTTTTCAAACCTGGCAAGACAATGTCATTCCTAATCTGGATCTTCATAAGAAAATGTAAGGATTTAGTAAAAATCTTTACAGGTTGCTGCTTAATGTCCACTCAGCCATGTTCATTTCTTGAGACAGAGCCTAGAAGGATCTTTTAAAATCATAGACCTTAAGGATCCTGTCAGGCTTGATTCGAGATTCGATCCAGAATTCGTTCAAATTCTTGCTCGGATTTTTTTCTCGTTAAAGTTTGTAGGATCCTACTAAGATTCATTGTTAATCCTTTATAGGATCCTGACGAAATCATAAAGAGGATTTCATCAAGATTTCATTGGGTTTGAGTGAAGATCTGCTCTGGATCCCGATATGGGGATCCTGCCAAGAGTTATGGTTATATCAGAGAAGGATGATACAAGGAATAAAACTAGATTATTCAGAATCCTCAAATAAGAAATCCTGCCAAACTTCGATCAGGATCCTGAGTGGAACTGTTCAAGAATAGGTATTTTCAATGGTTAAAAAAAAAAGTATGATCAGAATCTTGATAAGAAAATACCAAGAGCCAGTTAAGATTTTTCCAAGCTTATGTTTAGAGACTATTCAGAATTTAACCTTTTATGTTTCTGTCAGGAACCTAGCAAGAATCAATGAAACGGTTCTCTCACATTTTTAGCTTGATTCAGGTGAGGATTCTTTGAAGATTTGTAACTCTATAGATCATAAGAGAATTTCAATGCTAATATTGAGTGAAATCTCAACAAAGATAAATAGAAGGATTTTTCAAGATCTTACCGTGGTTTTATTCGGAACACGAGAAAATTCTGAGAATTGAATACTCTACTGGCATTTTTATCCCGATGATCTTTATTTTGGTGCTTTTCATAAAGGAATAGAACGAACCTTAGAAAAAAGTTTTGTAAATCTCTGTGAAATTTCTACAAAAACTGTTTTTTGAGATTCAGAATACAGCGATGAGTTCATTTTTTTGATCTTATCAAGAGGGGGTGTGGGTGAGTGTGTGGGTGTGGAGTGGGTGTGGGTGCCGGTGTGAGGGTATGGGTGTCGCTGTAAAAAGAAGACAAACACATCCACCCACACGCACACCCCGCACCCTTGCGGAATTTTCTAAACAGAATAGAAAAAATGTGAAACACAATGAATCTATTCTTACCAATTAAATGAAAATTATTTTGTTCCATTTCTTTGCAATACATTTATAGCTAACGGTTTATCTGATGCTGTATAACTACAATTTCTCTGTTATGGTCTGTGATGGGCTCGGAGATTCTCTGCCACGGTCTGTAATGAGTTCGAAGATTCTCTATGACAGTCTGTGATGGATTCGGAGATTCTCTCTCAGTCTGCAATGGGCATGAACTTTTTCTGTCACGGTCTGTGGGGGAGGCGGAGAAAGTGGATCCAAAATTTCTACCCTAAACACTTCAGCACTCCTTTCAGATCGTATTTCACAAAAACACCTGAGCACATAAAGTATTAATCTCTAAATCTTCAGTATACATGCCAATCAGGATCTAGGTATGGAGTGTGAGGGTCGGCGTGCTTGCGTTATTCTGGGTGTGGATCTTTTCTTCTATGACAGCCAAAGCCACAGCCACACTCTCAGGTCATTTTTGGCGCTTGCGTGTTGTTTATCTCATAGAATGAAGCTTGCTGGAATCCTGAGTCTATGACAACTTTTACTCTAGTAGTCGAAATCTATCTACCCAGAGAAGTTCACAACATTTGGTCGAGCCCTTCTTCAGAAGTCCACGAGATGGGAAGAGTGCCCTTCAGTAATAAAATTGCCAACAAGCTGAATTGGAAAACTCATATTCGATTCAGTTTGACCCTGCGAAATATTCAATTCGACAGCTCGAATGAATTTCTATCTTTGATTACAAGATCGCTTGTTTAATACACGCTCTTAAAATTCGATCAATTGTCTTGATTTAGGTATGGGTACTGCTTACTTCGCAAAAGTTATAGTAGTCGTATATATTGTAGTTGCAGTCTTGTCGCTGCGTGATGCGGCCCGAGAAAAATATGAAGAACGGAAAAGAACCGTAGATGCAGAATGGACGATTTTTCGAAAAAGAAATAAAAAAAAGGAGAATGAGTGGTAAGCAAATAAACAAAATAAGCGGTTGTATACGCACTTCAAAATCATACTGGATAAATATTTATTTGCTTTGAGATACTTAAGGGGAGTCAACGGAAAAAGAGCAAGCATTGTCTTGTCACAGAATTGTGCAATAGTTTCGGTGTTAATCAATGTGCAAAGCATGAATCATATTACACAAAACTTTCTCCAACATGAAAATCGTTGAGTCACTGCGTGCGTAGCATTCACCTGGAAAAATGTCATGTTAGCAACGGCAACAATATAAATTGTTGACTACATCAAACAGAGAGCAAAGTTGAAGGGTGTAAGTTTGGGTTTCGGTATGGCTGTGGGTGTGGGTGGGGCATGGGTGTCGATAGGTATGAATGTGGGTGGGTGTAGATATGGAGTTTGCTGGATATGATTGTGAGTGTGGGTGTGTGAGTGTGGGTGTCGATGTGGGTGTGTGTGTCGGTGGGTGTATGTGGGTGTCGGTGTGTGCGTACGTGTGGATATGGGTGTA